GGCTGAAGTGGGGGTCCGCGGTGCGGATTGTTGCTGCGTTGCTGTTGTTGTTGAACTCTGACTACTGAAAATAATTATTGTTGATCCCCCTTGTTGTGTTTTTTCAATTGAAGTGTTTCCCCCGGGGGCTCACACCCCGTTTTTCATCAAGGAAAATCACGGGGCTCAAACTGGGCCCCTGGCCCCCAGTTTACACCAACAACGGTTCCCGCCTGATACTTCCTCACACTTTATTCCTAAATCGCGCTCTCGCGCGGGACTTCCTCACAATCCATGTACATCGCGCTCTCGCGTGGGACTTCCTCTCAGTTTATACAGCCGATGCGCCCTCGGCGCTCAGGAATCACGCTCTCGCGCTGGCTTTTCTCACGATTTACTTGGGAATCGCGCTATCGCTCGAAATTTCCTCGCGATCCATGCAGGACCCACGCTTCAGCAACCCGCCTGCTCCACCTAGTCGTCTGGGCCCACCTTCCCGACCTGTCCGCTATGGATCTGCCCACACGATCTGCCCGTTTTGTTTTCTGCTCCTTGCCCCCCTCCTGCTACGTAATTTCTCTCGTGTTCCATTATTCTCCCTCCCCATTCCATCCGTCCTCTCTTCCCTTCTTTCAAGGGCTGCACCAACTACACGGGGCAGGTAAAGAAGATATACCTCAAAGGGGGTACGATCGAAAACGACGAGGGCGGTTACCGAGGGTTTGGGATATACGTATTGGTTGACACGTGAGCAGAAAGGTGCGACTAGTCTTAAAATGATTGTTGTTGTTGCACTCATTCCTTAAAAATAGTTATCGTTGATCCCCCTGGTGCACCTCATGTTTTTCAAGTGAAGTGCTCCGCATGGGGCTCGCACCCTGTTTGTTACCTTAGAAACTCTTGCGACTCAGATTGGGCCCATGGCCCCCGAATTACAACAACAACAACAACAACAACAACAACAACAACAACAACAACAACAACAACAACGGCGCCCGCCTGATACTTCCTCACAATGTACTTCAAAATCGCTCTCTGGCGCGGGACGTCCTCAGAATGAATGCGGAAATCGCGCTGTCTCGTGGCGTTTCCTCGAAATTTGTTCCAACGCCGCGCCCTCGACGCTCAGGAATCGTGCTCTCGCTCTGGCTCGTCTCACGAGTTACTTGGGAATCGCGCGATCGCTCGAGACATCCTCGCGAATTCTGCAAGACTCACGCTTCAGCAACCCGCATGCTCAATCTGGCCGCCTGGGCCCGCCTTCCCGACCCGCCCATGAAGGTCTACCCACCCGATCTGCCCGTCTGGTTGTGCCACGTGCGTCCTGCTCCTAGCCCCCCTTCTGCTAATATCTCTCGTGCTCCATCCAGCCTTCTTCCTCCCCCTTCCATCCGTCTTCTCTTGACAAAATGCTTATTGACGGTGATGCTTATTGACGGTGATGCTGGTGATGTTGTTGTTGGTGCTGGTGTTGGTGTTGATGGTGATAGTGTTGGTGGTGGTGGTGGTGTTTTGGTGGTGGTGGTGGTGATGGTGTTGGTGGTGTTATTGTTGGTGGTGTTGTTGGTGGTGCTGTTGGTTGTGTGTTGTTGTCTATGTGTTCGCTTGTGTGTTTGTGTTTGCTTGTGTGTTTGTGTGTTTGTTGGTTGGTGTGTTTGCTTGTTTGTGTGCTCGTGTGCTTAGTGTGTGTTGTTTGCTGTTTATATGTTGGTTGTTGCTTGTTGCTTGTTGTGTGCTGCTGTTTTTGGTGGTGTTTGTTGCTGTTGCGGTCGTCCCACTCGCGAACCTGCCCGCGGCCCGTCCTCGACCCACCCCGCGACCCACCCCGCGACCCACCCCGCGACCCACCCCGCGACCCACCCCGCGGCCCACCCCGCGACCCACCCCGCGACCTACTCCGCGACCCACCCGCGACCCACCCCGCGGCCCACCCCGCGCCCACCCCGCACACTCTCACCCGCAACTGCGGGGTGCCACGTACATCGTTTCCCGAGCGGTATCTGGGCATCGCTCGGACGTCCATTCCCTGTTTTTTTTTCGGTTTCGTGCGTGGGTTTTTCGCCAAATGATCAAGGATGCTCCTCGATGGCCCTCGCCGAAGGAAAAATGCACACGTCCGAGCGATGCCAAGGTATTCGCAGGAAGCGCCCGCTACGAAGCTCAAAAACAGCTACGAGCTCCGAGCGGGCGCGTCGCCCGGGCGTGGTCGACGCAGGCGTAGGATGAGCATGCTCGGGTGGTGCCGAGTATTGGGGAGACGCAAGACTCGGGTTCGGGGGACTCGGGCAGACCTGCCTGGGCCATCATGAACATGACGATGGCCCGGTCTGAAATCTGACGCGAGCTCCCGCTGCAGGCCTCCCACGAAAACTGGACCGTCACAGTCCAGGACGCGCTCGTCAAAAAGCGTCGGCAAACCCGAACTCCAGCTTACTCGGGTCTTATGTTCCCCCGAGAGTAGAGGGAGGAGGAAGCAGGGAGGGGAGAGGGGGAGCGGAGGGAGACGAAAACTAGAAAAGCCAGGTGGCGGACTGGCGAAACCGAAGGCATCGAGAACGACGCGCCAACTACACGGCGACAGCGCGTGACCAATGCCATGGCACGTAAGAATGCGTGCTCGACGTGTCTTGCGATGACGACGCGCCAAATGCGCGCCGACTACGCGTCACCAATGTCATGGCCAGCAAAAGCAGACTCTGCTTTTTGCATTGCACGCATCAGTCGGCATGAGGTCATGCTGCATTACTTGAACATGTAGGGTATGTACATCTCTGAAAAGCTACGTTTGTCAGATGTTCCTTGTACGACCCGAACCTCGATCCACCAGTCGAGCGCTGTCACAATACCGCCTTCGGTGCACTCGAAAGTCCATATCATAACAATGCGAGCGCTTCGCGCGCTCAGCTTCTAGCAAGCGTTAGCCATAGTATCCCTGTTGCTTCCTGCGATCCTCCCTCCCTGGGGGGACGAAAAGTGATACAAACATAAACACTCGGAGGTCCGCGCGGATTCCTCGGATCGGGGGCCCCCCGGCGGCGCCTCCGGCGCCGCCCCTGGCGCGCTCCGCGCGCCAGGGAGGGGGGATCCAGCGCCGATCCGAGGAATCCGCGCGGACCTCCGAGTTTTTATGTTCATGCCACTTTTTGTTCCCCTGCTGTTGCTTCCTTCGATCCTCCCTCCCTTAGGAAGGCACCAGCTATACACCAACACCGATCCTGGCCAGGATCACCCTGGGCCCAGGATCGGTGTATACGCCCTCCTGCCTTGGGCAAGAAGGCATATACACCGATCCTGGGCCTAGGATCGGCCTGGCCAGGATCGGTGTAGGTGTATAGTTGGTGCCCTCCGATACTGTTGCTTTTCTCGATTTTTTCTCCCTGCCACCCTGCCTCCGGGGCCCTCCTTCCCTCCCTGCTGCGGTGTGCGGCCGGCCCCGAACCACTGCGGCCTCCGAGCCGCCACGGGGAGCCTGCGGAGTGCCGTCGGGGGGATGCCGGGGAAGTCTTGGGCGCGATTAGGGGGCCACATGCGAACCCTACCCCTACCCCCCAAGATTTCTGAGGGGAAGGGTGGGGTTCACTTCGTTCGGGAGCTCCCGAGCGAAGTGAACCCCACCCTCCCCCTCAGAAATCGTGGGGAGTAGGGGTAGGGTTCGCATGTGGCCCCCTAGCGATGCTTCTGCCGAGCTCCACTCGTCGGCTGCACGTGGGGGAGGGACCCGGGGCAAGAGTGGCCTCTGGTGCGCGGGGCTCTGGGGGGGGGGGGCGCGAGGGGGCCGAACCCGAGCGCGCAGGCCGCTGCCGTCGCATCGCCTTCGGCGATCGGGGGGGGGGGGGCCCGGTGGGCCCGCACCAAAAGGCCACTCCAGCGAAGGGCCACTCCTGCGTGCGGTCGATCTCGAGCCAGCTCGGCAGAGCCATCGTTGGGACGTCCGGGCCGGGCTCGCGGGCCGTCTGCCGAGTCCCCTCGGGGCGCCGGCAGGACCTCCTCGGCCCGCTCGGGGCCGCTCCGAGGGCCAAACGGTGCTGGTCAGCAGAGGCCACTCCTCCTCTTCCTCCTCCTCCTCCTCCTCCTCCTCCTCCTCCTCCTCCTCCTCCTCCCCCTCCTCCTCCTCCTCCTCCTCCTCCCCCTCCTCCTCCTCCTCCTCCTCCTCCTCCTCCTCCTCCTCCTCCTCAAAGGGGCCCCAGGGGCCCAAGAGAGGCACGGGAGGTGCGTGCTCTTCCCAGACGGTGTCCGCACGCGGAGCTCCCAGTCTGCCCAGCACCCAGCACGCCCGTGCGCGGGTGGCACACAGCACGGCGCGACCAGCTGAAGACTCTCCGCTGCTGGGCAATCAGAAGCGAGGCCAGGGAGAGTATGGATAGGAGGAGGAGGGGGGAAGGAAAAGAAAGAGCGGCAAACTCCTGAATTGAGATGCGTATCTGAAAAAGCCGAGGCGTCCGCAAGCGGACGTCACCTGTAGCTCAGCCTGTCAGCCTGACACGCCCAGGCGCGAGCGGCAAACCGACTGACGCGCTGAAGAATCTCCGCTGCAGAGGAATCGAAGCGCGGGTAAGGAGCACACTGGCCCGCTGAATGATCTCCGCTGCTGGAGATAAGAGGTGAAGGCAAGGAGTGTACTGACAGCCCGTTCTGCTCCCCCCACCCTCCACCGCCGCCACTCGCCGAGACCACCACCCACGCGATCCAGCACCCCTGCGCCTCTGCAGGGTAGCCCGTTCCTATGCCCACAAGCGGTCCCCGCCCCCCACGCCCACCAAACTGCCCAGAACACGAAAGGAAGGAAGGAAGGAAAAGAAGGAAGAAGAAGAAGAAGAAGACGAAGAAGAGATCAAGGAAGAGGAAGAGGAAGGAGGAAAAGACGGTAAACTAGGTGGCGACATCCGAACCCTACCACCGCCGCCATCGACTTGCCTCAATATTCAATCGGCGAGGCTAGGGCTCGGATTTCACCGCCGACAAGTGGAGGCGGGGCAAGAAAGAGCGAGGAGGAAGCAGACAGGACGGGAAAAGAACGCGGCTCACTCGGTGTCGTGTGGCCGTGGCGGGCGCGGGTGCACGACGGTGCCGGCAGAGATGCCGACCCTGTGAGAGGACTTGCACCTGACCTCCGCTCCGCTGGCATCGTCCACGTGGAACCCCTTGATGGCGGGCGGGCCAGCCTTCTCCACCTCGGCGGCCCTCTGCCTGAACTCGGCCTTCCAGGCCATCTCCATCGCGTCCAGCTCGGCAACCTTCTTGCTCACGACCTCCCTCTGCAGCATGGTGACATAGACGTGGAGCACCAGGCACCCCAGCATGGCAACTCCAGAGGTAGCCAAGCCCACCATGCCAGTCGGCTTGATGATGCCGTCCTCGCCCCTCCAGAGAACTAATGCGTCGATGTCGTCGGTGACCTCGAAGCTCCCGAAACAGACGCTTGATCTCCAGAAGAAGAGGTAGCAGACGCACAGTATCGTGAACAAGCCCGTGGTGGAGGCGCACCTGACACAACGAGGCAAGCTGCTCCAGGTAGCAGTGCAGACCGTGGCTATCTCCTGGCTGCGGAAGTCCAGCCAATCTAGGTCGACGTTCTTCGCGAGCGGCCTCGTGACCTCCCAATCCTCCTCTACGCGAACGGCGCCCATGCACCGCGCCATGCCTGGACTTCCGTTAGGCTCCGCCCCAACACGGCGGTACGGGGCATAGTTGTTCGGCTACGATGGCCGAAACACTATGCACCGTACCATCCCTGGGTCGAGGATCGAAGACGCCTCGGAGGCGCCAACGCGGTACGGTGCACACGAGTCGTCCGCGGATCCTCGTCCAGCTTCTCCTGGATCTTCCACGCGGCCATCAACCACAGGCCCAGCCCCATGAGCGCCGTGGACGAGACCATCAGGCTCGCGGCGCGGCTCCAGAATGCGCTCTCCCCCGCCCGGAGGTAAAACGCCCCGCTCAGCGTGCAGGGCGTGATGAAGAAGATGATGGGCACGGTCCCAAGCTCCATCTTGAGGACATTCAGCTTCAAGATCCCGGCCAGCACTGAGGTGGGCCAATCAGGCCCACCGCACAGGATGGCCACCTTACCGACCGTCCAGGTCCCAGGGTCCCGGAGCACGAGCTCTATGGCGCGGATGAGGGGCTTGTTGACTCCGCACTGGCTTCTCACCCAGAGGCTCTTCCCCAGCAGCTCGCCGATCAGTTTTTGCTGCATGGCGCATGCACAAAGCTTGAGGAGAAAGCCCACTCCAATGGCGACGACGCAAGCGGCCGTGTAGTCGAAATCAGCCCTGCCGACGAGCAAAACGCCAGAGAATATGTAGACAGGCACACCGGGCACTGGAGGTAGAAGAAAACATGTAATGCCGGATATTAGTATCATCACAGTGAGGGTCGTGTAGTCTAGCCCGGACAGCGAGGAGTTGAGCCACGCCAGGAATATGTTGAGCAGGCGCGGGGTCAGCACATACCCAACGAACGCGAGGGAAAGGATGTACATCCTCATTACAATGGCGATCCAATTCCACTGTTCCATCGCCTCCAATCCCTGTACGACTCTCTGCGTCAAACGGGAACGCTTGGGATCGTCCACGACCCCGACCACCACTGGCTTATCGGCGTCTTCCACCGTAGAGTTGCGTCTCATGTCCTCTTTCCTGGATGGCTCAGGCCTGCTCTGGGCGCGGTCGATGTCGGCTGGCAGCCTCTCGACCCTGTCGCACAAGTTGCGGTATCTCCTGCAGCTCTGGTTCGCCCAGGACAGCAGCAGCACCAACGGCACCGCCCACGCAGTGCAGCACAGGAGGGAAGCGCGCGCCCAGTCGTTGCCCGCCACGGTCTTCGCCATGCGGAACAGGGGCAACTCCTCGCGGGCGAAACACATATCCGTATCCGCGGCCTCGCGGGCCTGGCCCCATGGCCGAGACCCCGCGGATGCGGGGTGCTTTTTCGCGGATGCCCCGCGCGGAACGAACCCGAGCGACCGCATATCCGCGGGATCGTGCCTCGGAATCCAGACCGCAAGGCAGTGGATATGGATATGTTCGCCGATCGTGAGCTCCTGGCACCAGCCCCTCATGATCGCCACGAACCTGGAGAAACTTGCGGCCAGGAAGACCACGGCAAAGAAGCCAAAAGCGCCCCACACGCCCAGGAACAGCTGCGCGGCGGGGCTGTCCGCCGCAACCAGCTCGAAGGAGACGTAGAGCACGCCCATGAACGCGACAAAGACGGATCCGATGTACCTGAGGACGCTCGACACCTGCTTTAGCTGCTCGATGTGGCACCTGGTGAACTCTGCTTTTTGCTCTGGCGAGAGCTTCTGGAACTCTTCCTCCTCTTGCTTCGTTTCCAGATGACGCTTCATCAGCGCATCCTGCTCCCTGAGCTCGGCCTCGCCGAGGTGTGAGCCCCCGCTGATGATGCTGCCGCGAGCCCGCCTTGCCTCCGTGTGCACCTCCAGCTCGTGGTGGGGCGAGGTTAGAGGAACAAAAAACGCCATAAACATAAACTTTCGGAGCTCCGAACGGATTTCTCGGATCGGCGCTGGGCCCCCTTCCCTGGCACGCGGAGCGCGCCAGGGGCGGCGCCAAAGACGCCGCCGGGGGGGCCCAGCGCCGATGCGAGAAATCCGCACGGAGCTCCGAAAGTCTATGTTTATGCAGTTGTTTGTTCCTCGAGAGGTGATGACCTCCGCAAACCTGAAGCGCAGTGTCACGATCAGCCCAAACAGTATGTAGCCAAAGCCTGCACAGAAGGGAGCTATCTCGACCAAAAAGACCCGCCCGCGATCATCCTCGCTGCTGGCGCCCATACCGTCGTAGAGGTGCTCTGGGTCGCGCCCGTTGCTCAGCATCCAACAGAGCCACGCGAAAATCGTGAGGGGCAAGGCCAGGGGGGGACCAGCTCAGGTGTGGGGGCAACTCCTGGGAGGACTTCGTCAGAACGAATAAAGGCTGCTAAGTCCGATTGGGAGGCTACTGAGCCAGATTAGGCCGGATTAAGCACAGAACCAAGCCAGATTGAATGGGATCGAGCCAGATTTAACGGGGATGAAACAGATTATGGCAATCTTCGGTCGAGGATGTACCAGCGCCGATTCTAGATAAAATTTAACCTCCCAAGAGTTGCATCCTAAATCTACGGGGGAGACATCGACCTGGAGTCGGCGATAGGCCACTGATGGCGAAACCGGACGGTCCCGAGCGGGGTGGGCTATCAGGCCCTCATCTGCGGTCCGCGGGCGATTGGGGGTCGATGCACCCCCCCTGAGCCTACCCCCCAAAAGGCCCCAACGTTGCCCCTGAGATCGCCGTGCTCCCCACCAGGGAGAATGCGCACATCGCGCTGGCGTAGAAAGCCCTCCAGTCGTCGTGGTGGTGCCGGAACGACTCCACGAACCGGGCCCGGGCGCTCAGCCTCCCGCGCTCTGCACCTCAGAGCAGGGCGAGTTGAGACAGCGGCAGCTCCCTCCTCCTCCTCCTCCTCCTCCCTCCTCCTCCCTCATCCTCCTCCTCCTCCTCCTCCTCCCTCCTCCTCCTCCTCCTCCTCCTCCTCCTTCTCCTCCTCCTTCTTCTCCTTCCTCTCCTCCTCCTCCTCCTCCCCCTCCTCCCTACTCCCTACTCCCCTCAAAATCAGTCCCCAGCCTCGGAGGTGGCCAGGGGCTCTGAATCGCTTGGGACCCCAGAAAATCGGCCAGGAGAGGGGATGCGGCCAACGCCGCCACAAAACAGTCCCCGGACCCCGGGGTCCATGAAGGGGCCCTGGGACACACAAATAAATAGACACAAATAATGGGATTCCCCATATTTTCCAATATGTTCTGGGTTTTTGTCTTCCCCCCACTTCCCATATTTTCCCATATTGTCTGGGGAATCGACGATTAATTGTGTCTGTGTGTTTTTTCCCCTCCTGGGTCCACCTGGTGCGGTTTTCCATCCTGGATCCGTTTGTCGCCGTCCTGGGGCCCGAAGACGGCCACCGGAGGGCAAAAGAGGCCAGAAACCTCCCCGAACCCAAAGCCTCGGACCCGCCGCCCCTCCTGCTGGACAGAACCAGTGCTGGGCCACTCAGACCCCCAGCCGGCTCCAACTTGGCGGCGCGCAGAGGGGGTAGGGGGAGGGGGGAAGGCTTCTTAGAAGCACCCCTGCTTCTTAGAAGGTGCGGGCCTTCTCTGTAGATGTAAGGCCGGCACCTTCTAAGAAGCAGCCTCCTTCTAAGAAGCCTTCCCCCCTCCCCCCGATGCCCCTTCTGCTCGCCGCCAACCAACCCCAGACCCCTCCCGGGGTCCAAACGCGACAGTGTTCCCGAAGGCCGCCCTCCTCGGAGCACCTGTTGGCCGCGGCGGGCTCCCGGGGCTGTGGGCCAGGCGCGCCGCCGCCAGGAGCGCCGGGGCGCTGGCCGTGGTCGCGAGCACGGGCATCTGCGGGTAGCCCTTGGCGGAGAACAGGGCGGTGCAGAAGATCGATGGCCCCCGGGGACGCGTGCTAGCGCTGGCGCGTGCTCGTCCACCGAGGCCTTCCAGCACCACGCAGGCTGCGGAGAAGGGCCGCGGCAGGATGCGAGCTGCCGGTCGAGCACGGCGATGGCCACGCGCACGCGCGCTGGGCCAACACGCGCCCCGAGGGCCATCGAGAAGAGCAGGAGCGCGCAGGCCGCCACCGCCACCCTCTCGAGGGCGCTGCCGCGGCGGCCGAAGGTGCAGTAGCGGCCCGGCAGGTGCGGGGGCCAGAAGAAGTCCATGCTCCAAGGGAGGAAAAGCGGCACAAACAGCAGCTGTCAGAGCTCCGCGCGGATTTCTTGGATCGGCGGTGGGGCCCTCTGGCGGCGCCTCCGGCGCAGCCCCTGGGGCGCGCCGCGCGCCAGGGAGGGGTGCAGCGCCGATCCGAGAAGTCCACGCGAAGCTCCAAAATTTGATGGCTATGCAGTTGTTCGGTCCCTCGCATGCAGTAGAGCACGCAGAGCAGGGCAGTGAGCAGCGCGCCGCAGGCCACCGACACGCTCCCCTGGTCGTCGAGCCACTGGGTGAAGCGCAGCCCCGCGCCCATGCTGGACATCAGGAAGATCACCGCCGCCATTGGGATGCACAGGACCGCGAAGCTGATGGCGAAGTAGGCGTTGAAGCCCAGGCTGGTGAACCCTGGTAGCAAGACGCCACGTACACTTGCACCCACCCACACCGATCCTGGCCAGGCGCATCCAGGGATCAGGATCGGTGTACACGCCCTCCTCGCTCGGCCAGGAGGGCATATGCACCGATCCTGGGCCCAGGGTCGGCCTGGCCATGTTGACGATGTATTATATATATACAGATATATAAACATAGATATAGATATAGATATAGTTGGTGCCCTCCGTCCTCGAGCATGCCGGCACGCTGCAGCATCCTTCTCCTGCTGGAGCGGCTCGCTCCTCGGCCGCTCCCCGCCGGCCTCGGGCCCGCGGCCGTGCGGCAGCGTGCCTGAGCCACCTTCCAAGGGCCTGCCGACGCTCTCTGCCGCGGCCATGTCAGCGCATGCCCCGGTGGCGGCAGAGCGGAGGGGGGGGAGACTGACTACCTACCAGACCACCCCAACCCAACCCGAAGACCCGAATTTCGGGTTGGGAGGGGGGGTATGGGTTCCACATGTGTTTTTGTCGATGTTTCCCGACCCCCCCCCCCCACTGGAAATCGAGGGTAAATCTGAGCCTTCGGTTTGGGTTGGGGTGGTTTGGTGGGTGGTGAGAGACCCTGGCCAGACCAGGGGGGAGGGGGTGATCTGCGCTCGGCTTGGGCCTTCCTGCAGAGGAGGGAGGGTCTCTCGTGGAGGAGGGACGCAAACCTTCGGACCCGCTCGCGGACGGATTTCAGCGCACGTCGGCGCAGGCCCTGGTGGCGGCAGAGCTGAGGGAGGGGAACCCTGGCTGGGCCAGGGGGAAGCTGGAATGAAGCAGGAAGCGCTGCCGGGGGGACCCCGCGCCAGTGCCTCGGAAGGCGTCGGGCCCGCGAGCCTCGTAGAACAGCTAATCTTGACGACGCCTGCGCCAGTGCCAAGTCAGATGGGCTCCAGTCTACTAAAATCTTCGACCATCGCCAGACGAGGGGAAGGGGGTGATCCAGGCTTGGTTTGGGCTTTCCTCCAGGGGAGGGAGGATAACGATCTCATGGAGGAAGAGAAAACTGTACAAGTATGAACGTTCGGAGCTGCGCGCGGATGTCTTGGATCTGCACTGGGGACTTCTCTGGCGCGCGGAGAGCGCCAGGCGCCAGGGGAACCCAGCGCCGATCCAAAAAATCAGCGCGGACCGCCGAAAGTGTATGGTTATCCCCCTTTCTCTTATTCGATGTTCCAAGGGTCTCTTACTGGCACCCAGGAACTCCCTCCTTCTTGATCTGGTCAGGACTCCCTGTCCCCCGAAGAGCGCGGGCACCGTCGGTGCAGAAGGGGGCTAGCTCAACCGCTTGAGCCGGAGCGGCCACCGCAGGCTCGTGTCGTGACGACCATGGCGTCGGCTCCTTACATAGGCGCGGACCGTTCAGCCCTGAACGATCGGCGGCTGTCCGATCGCCGGATTGAGCCAAGGTGGCTACGGCAAGTTCGTGTCGTGACGACCCTGGCGTTGGCCACTGACACCGCATGGATCGTTCAACCCTGAACGGTCGGCGGCGTTTCGATTGCCGGATCCTTCCATATTGGCCGATTAGGGCCGATAGCGGCGTCCAACCTTGAACGCCCGCGCTGGGGGCTTCGCCGCGTCGGTGCGACACGAACCTACCGTACGGCGGCTGTCCGATCGCAGGATTGAGCAAAAGAGACTACGGCAAGTTCGTGTCGTGACGACCATGGCGCCAGCTCCTAACACAGCGCGGATTGTTCAGCCCTGCACGATTAGCGGCTGTCCGATCGCCGGATTGAGATCAAGTAGCTACGGCAGGTTCGTGTCGTGACAACCATGGCGTCGGCTCCTGAAACCGCGCGGATCGTTCAGCCCTGAACGATCGGCGGCTGTCCAATCGCGGGATTGAACCAAACTGGCTACGGCAGGTTCGTGTCGTGACGACCCTGGCGTTGGCCCCTGACACCGCGTGGATCGTTCAACCCTGAACGGTCGGCGTCTTTTCGATCGCCGGATCCTTCCATATTGGCCGAATCTGGCAAATGGCGGCGTCCAGCCTTGAGCGCGCCGAGGTCGTCGCCGCATCGGCCAGACCGCTTGAGCCAAAGCGGCCGTGTACGGGAGGCTCGTGTCGTGAAGACGCTGGCGCTGGCTCTTTACACAGAGTGGATCGTTCAACTTTGAACGATCGGCAACGCTTCTCCTCCTCCCTCCTCCTCCTCCTCTTCTTCCTCCTCCCTCCCTCCTCCTCCTCCTCCTCCTCCTCCTCCTCCTCCTCCTCCTCCTCCTCCACCTCCTCCTCCCTCAGCCTCCTCCTCCTCCTCCTCCTCCTCCTCCTCCTCCTCCACCCCTCCTCCTCTTCCTCCTCCTCCTCCTCCTCCTCCTCCTCCTCCCTCCTCCTCCTCCTCCCTCCTCCTCCTCCTCCCTCCTCCTCCTCCTCCCTCCTCCTCCGCCTCCTCCTCCTCCTCGCCCCTCCTCGCTCCCCAGCGGAGGGGCGCCTGGGCCCACGCGGGCCCCTCCTCCTCGGCCTCTGCCGCCGGCGCCGGCCGGGCGCTGGGCGGCACGGGCGGGAAGGCCACGCCCGCCGCGGGGCGGCGGGCGGGGGCAGCGTCGGCCACGCTGCGCGGCGGCGGGCTGGCCGGCTGCTCCGCGTGCTCGCCGAGGACCTCTGGAAAGGGAGGGAGGGAGGGAAGGAGGGCGGAGGGCGGAAGGGAGGAGGAGGAGGAGGAGGCGGAGGAGGAGGAGGAGGAGGAGCGGAGGAGGAGGAGGGAAGGGAGGAGAGAGGAAGGGAGAGGGAGGAAGGGAGGAAGGGAGGAGGGAGGGAAGGAAGGAGAGAGGGGAGGAGAGAGGGGGAGGTGTAGGGAGAAGGGAGGAAGGAGGAGAAGAGGAGGGAGGAGGAAGGAGAAAGGAGGGAGGAGGAGGATGAGGAGGAGGAGGAGGAGGCGCTATCTCGAGGAGAAGGATGATGAGGAGGAGGAGATGGGGGGGAAGGGGGAAGGGGGAGGGCAGGAGAGAGAGCAGGCGGGCAGGCAGGCGCATCAGCAGGAACAGGAGGAGGAGTTCCTGTTCCTGCTCCTGCTCCTCCTCCTCCTCCTCCTCCTCCTCCTCCTCCTCCTCCTCCTCCTCCTCCTCCTCCTCCTCATCCTCACCCTCCTCATCCTCATCATCGGTTGTCCTCCTCCTCATCATCATCCTCCCTTCCTCCTTTCCGCCTCACTCATCCCTCGTCCTCGCACCGCCCTCTTCCTCCTCCCCCTCCTCTCTCCGCCCTCTTTTTTGTTGGCCGTGCGCTAAGACCTATAGATCCCTCTGCACCGCGATGCCTCACCGGCTGCGCGGCCAGCCCAAGCGAGGGGCGAACCCTGACCCTGCACCCGCCATTCGGAAGAAGTGGGTGGAAACATGGAGCAGGAAGGCGGATGAAGTAGACTGGGTTCGGGCCCGCCGAAAGAATAACAAAAAGCAGCAAAAAAACGCAGATCATTGAAATAGGAAGGCGCTTGAAAAAAGATTGGGATCTGGAGATGCAAAAACACTGGAAGGCTGCAAATCCTTCTCTACCCCAGCTGATCCTGCCTCTGCAGAGGCGAGGGGCGTCCCTAACGATGCTAAAAAAGATAACAGACAGTCAAGAGACCCAGACGAGCGCGAGGAGGAGAAGGAGGAGAGGGAAAACGGAAGGACGAGGGGAGAAAGAAAGGGACAGCCACGTGCTGGCGCCCGTTAATCTTTCATCCGACGGCCCTCCATCGACGTCTCACTGATTCTTCTGCTTAGCATTAGCTGTTTCACCGTCGGCACCGCCCAGAACCATCGCCAAAGGCAAAAGTCTGGATGTTCTTCGCCTGTTTGTGCATCGGAGCACGGTGGTTACGTCAGGCGGATCTCGAGCACCTCCAAGACCTCCGTGCGCAGGAGTGCAAGAAACACAACCCTGGAGAGCGAAGATCCACTTGACGACTCCGTCCTCGTCGGCCTCCAGGCTGAAGCACCGCGTGGCGAGCAACTGATTGCCCTCTTTCGTCTTCGATTTCGCTCCGCTGAGCTTGAGCGTGGACGGGGCCTGCTGCGCGTCCAACTGGACGCCTGGATGCATCTGAACCACCGTGTGGTCCACAACGGACTGGTGCTTCCCGACCAGCAGGTGCAGACGATAGACTATGCGGAAGCAGGCGTCTGGACCCTCCCTCCTCCTCCACCTCCACCTCCTCCTCCTCCTCCTCCTCCTCCTCCTCCTCCTCCTCCTCCTCCTCCTCCTCCTCCTCCATTCCTCTTCCTTATAAATAATTTCTCCCTGTCGCACCCCGAAGCCAATTTTTAGGGCGGGCCGGGCGTTTCGCCTGAGACTTCCTCACCATTTATGACTCCGAAGCTTGTAAGATGGCAACAGTTTCACAAATGGAGGGTGGGTGGTTTTCGAAATATGGCTCTCACCTTAGCGCCGCGCACATTCGTTGCAAAAAATTGCAAGCGCTTCACGGATTGAGGGAGGGTCGTTTTCAAAATGGGGCTCTCGCCTTAGCGCGGCGCACATTCTTGTCAAAAAATCAAGAGCTTCACGGATTGAGAGCGAATGGTTTTCAAAAATGTGGCTCTCGCCTTAGCGTCGGCCACATTCGTTGCAAAAAATACACAAAAAAATTGACGGATTGAGGGCGGGTGGTTTTCAAAATGCGACTCTCGCCCAAGCGCCCGGCACATTCGTTTTGGAAATTTGCAAGAGCTTCACGGATTGAGCGCTGGTGGTTTTCAAAATGTGGCTCTCGCCTTTGCGCGGCGCACATTCGTGCAAAAAAATGCATGAGTTTCACGGATTGAGGGCGGGTCGTTTTCACAGTGTGGCTCTCGCCTTAGCGCTGCGCACATCCGTTCAAAGAAAATGCAAAAGATTCAAGGATGCCCATGATCAACGAACCAAAAATTGTGGTTTGGAAGGCTTCAGGATGATGCGGGTGCAACAGTCATGTTGATTCGCTGTGTT